CTCTTTCTCCCCTCTGTCACACACAAACACACACAAATACACACACATGTCTGATTTATAGTTGTGTTTCTCTTCTCTGAAAATATTCTCTTGATTGCCTTTGCTTTTATGCCACTAACATGAACCCCACGGCTTCCTATAATTTGAATCACTCCCCCCCCCCAACCCCTCCTGGAAAATTTAACGCAACAGAACTTCAAATCAGCAGAGACGGCGGTGTTTCCCCATCACATCCACTGCTGCTTTGTGGGGACTTTGTGGGGAATTCCAGTAACACTTTCTTCCACTGCTGCTTTGTGGGGAATTCCAGTAACACTTTCAATATGGACGTTTGGTCTGAGACTAATGTGAACCAATCCTTCAGCGGTCGTTACTGAATCACTTCATGTTGAAGGCTAGCAGAGGTCGCTCCTCCCTCCTCTGCCATGGACTCTTCTTCTCCTCCTCGCCGTCTTCTGGTGCCGCATCATCGTCTGGAGACACTGACAGCAACACATCCTCAGTCCTGAACGTCACGCCCTCTGGTGGCAGAGGGGGAGGAGAAGCCGGAGAGGACGGGGAGGACGGGGACACCGACGGAGGCTGCTCCAGTATCTGTACTCCTTCTACTCCCTTTTCCTTCACGTCCACCTCGCCCTGGTCCTCTCGCGGACTCTCTGCCTGGTCTGAGAGGACAGGTCCTGTTTTACTGTCCGGAGAGACGCACGCGGGCGTCTCCTCTTTGCTTCCTCCCTGATCCAGATCGTCCACGTACACCAGCTGAGTGTAGGCGGCGGCGCCCAGAGTTGTTAGCTTTGACCTGTCCTTCTCTGACTCTCTGTCCTCCTGCTCTGCGTCCCTCGCCCTGCGTCCCACCCTCGGCTCGTTCAGGTCCACACCAGAGTCCAGACTGGCATCGTTGCTGTTGCCGTGTCTCCCGCCACCGCCGGTGCCCTGCTGACCTCCGGCGCTTGGCGCGTTGGTGGGGCATCCTGCTCGCTGTAGGTCAATGTAGGAGTGACGTATGTGAGCGTTAGAGCGGCCGTCCAGTGACACAAACCAGGCGCGGGGGTGAGGCAGAGGTTTCCCTCCTCGAAGCGCCATTAAAGTCTTTTCAGCCAATAGGGTGTCCTCGCTGTTTATTTCCACCAGAGCCGTTTCCCCAAGAGCTGCTGGAATAGACAAGGACTCCGACAGACCGAGCCCGTCTCCATCACCCTGCTTGGTGGGACCTGTGGAGCAGCCTGTGGCTGTTTGCCCCGCGGGTTGCTGGGAATGTGAGGCATTCAGCTCGGCCTGGATGGTCTCCAGGTCACTTTGTTGGTCAGTCTGCAGCAGAAGGGCCTGACCAGAGAGAGGGTGCTCCCCTGGCAGGCGCATGTAGTGTGCTGGGATCACCAACGTAGGACGCACCCTGGGGTAGCCCTCCCCCCCGCTCAGGAGGTCCACGGAGCCACAGCAGAGCAGCTGGCCTGGTCGGGAGAGGCACGGGGGACTTGGACGCTCCAGGTGGTCTACGGAGCGGGACAGAAGGTAGTCTGGAGCCCTGCACTCACCCCCCTCTCCTTTACAGGGGGAGTGTGGAGGAGAGGACGGTGAGATGCAATTTACATTCCCAATGCTGCTCATCTGGTTAGCGATTGTCTGGCAGTGATTGGCTGAGTACAGTGCGTCTGAGATCTGGTGACTGGATGAGCAGACTGAAGTGTACGACTGACGGTAGCACTGGTCTGCTCCCGACGGAAGCGCAGACTTTAACTGGAACGTCTCTGCAGACTGTCTGTAGTCTCTGCTGCGGGGAGTCAGGTTGCCAAACGAGGAGCTGGTGTTTCCAAGGGAGGAGCGGCTGCGTTTGCTCTGATGGATCAGACTGTGCTGCCTGGGGTTTTCTTGGTGCTCGTACGAGCACGGCTTCAGCATGGGCGTCATCATGTCGGGTTCAGTCACAGTGGAAACCAGTTCCAGCTGCAATAAAAATAAAATAAAATTGATATTCTGAAAAAAAAAAGTCTAAAAAAATTTAAAACCAGATAAATACTCCACACACCTCATTGCTGATGAGGTTCAGGTGGGACATGGATGTGGCCTGGTCTCTCTTACTGCTGTCCAGACCAGTGGACAGAGTCAACTTGCGGTGAGAACCTCGAGGCTTCAAACAGCGACGCCTGCAGAACACAAACAGACGGCAGTGGATGAGGTTCGATTACAACGATTTACTGAGTCGGATCCGGATGTTCGACACTCGGACACTTAAATAAACTGAAATAAAAAAAATCACATTTAAAAAATATATATTATTAATTAATTAAAATTTTAAATTATTATTAGTCAATGTTTATTTTGGAACCCAGTCGTGGGCCAGATTGGATGGTTTGATGGGCTGGATGTGGGCCGCGGGCCACCAGTTGATGATATGTATGTGCATGTATATATGTGTGTATATATATATGGTCATGTGTACATATATACATATATTACTATATATACAGTATACAGAATATAAATACATACATCATATATTAATGGCTGTAAAATAGCTTGTTCTAATCTAAGGGTTCGCTGTGATTAGTTAATCACGATTAATTGTGAAGACAAGTACTCAGGTTGTCTCACAAACCTGCAGTAATACAGCAGCAGGCAGAGCAGGCACAGCAGGATGAGGGCCATCCCCCCCAGTATGGCCAACAGGAACACGGTGTGGTACGTACTGATATCCTTGGCGACCACCGGATCTGACGGAAAGCAAACGTCACGTTTCATTACTTTACAGTGTAAACAGTACAGTATACAGAACATAAAAATTAAATTATTTTTTCTTCTTCTACCTGTTTGTAGTGGAGACATGGCAGCCACCCAGTATCCCAGCTGAGGAGCAATGTAGGTCAGACTGAGCTGGTTACCCTGACGCTGTACATGACCCCAACTGCTTTTTATCCATGCGCCTGCACACACACACATACCCCCACACATACACACACACAAATCACATAATCACAGACAGAACAGAATGGAGCTTAAAAAATGATAAGCACTCGTGCATTTAAATGCATGAACAATAAGTAAAAAAACAACAAAAAACACCTATGTGACAAATTAAAAAAGTGATCAAATACGTTGAACGTGTGAATCGTCTTGTACATTAACACTATATCTTCATCAAAATTAACAGGAACCAGAACAAACTTTTTACTTGACCGACTCAATATAAACTGGTTATAATCAGTGAAACGTTACAATCTTTTTATTTTTTACTTTTCCCAAAGCCAAAAATGGAGCTCATCCTTCAAACAAGGCAAATAAAACATCTTACAATTTCAACAGCATGGAAATAATAATTAAAGACAGAAAGGGAGGATATTTAAACACCTTTTCACCTCAATTTTCACCTCATAAATTTCATTAATTAATAAAAATTTATAAAAATATTGTCTTACTAATTTTTTACTTATCCTTATTACCGATAGCTTCAGCTCTATACATTCAAAAACCACCATCCCACACACACACTGCTCCACAGCTTTTCGGACTTCACCCCTGGCTGTTACACGGGTCCATGTTTTGACAGCACTTCCCCACAAGGAGGAGACATTCTCCCTCTAATGTGAGGGTGTATAACCTGTGAGGAGTAACACAATAGCCACTCAAACTCTGCCAAAACCCACAACAAAAGCCAAAGTCACGGGCTGATTGGGTCACAGTAAATCTGCACCCACAGGAAATATTTTTTTTAAGTGTGTGTGTGTGTGTGTGTCTTTACACTGCCTGTCCTCTCGGTGTCAGGGCCAGCATGGCAACAAGTACTTTGTTCCTATGTTTATTTGTAGTCATTTGAAACACAGATGCCAGGAATCTACAATCGATCCTCAGGAAAGGAGGAAACCGAACAAGAAGGAGAGGATATTGAAAAAAATGAAGAGGAAAAAACAAAGGAAATAAGTCTGGAGTGAATGACAGGAGTGGAGAGAGAGAGAGAGAGAGAGAGAGAGAGAGAGAGATAAGAGAGAGAGAGAGAGGCAACAGGAAATAATGGCTGAGAGTGACTGAGAGGATCTGACTCAACACCTCAGTCCTGCTCCCCGATTAATCCTGACATTTACCCACCGTGTTCCCACGCTCACACACACACACATCCAAACATCCATCAAGTCAAAAACCACTCGGGTTCAACGTCTGCTTCTTTACCTACTGATGCAAAGTCAACGCAGTAAATGACACAGCAAGTTTTTCCATCTTTGACAGACGCCGGCTGCAGGCTCTTCCCTTATTTGCATTATCAAATTGCCAGGATGAAGGTGTGTCTGTTTATGAATAACACACACACAAACACACACACACACACACACACACACACACACACAAACACTTGATCTTTCTTGGCCAACGTGATTTCCCCCGATTCTTATTTGACATCTAACAACACAGGATGCTGTCATACAAGAGGAACAGGTTTGAAAGTGTGTGTTTGTGTTTGGTGCATGTGCTGAAACATTTTGTTTTTTGTTGAAATTCAAAATGGTTTCTGCAAAAGACACTGAACGGATTTTAAAGGTTATTTCAATCACAGTTTTGTCCTCACTCAATAATGGTTTTTGTTGCATGTAGCAACCCCCCAGCTTCATCCTAGTATAAATATATGTATATATATATAAATATATACACATATATATACATATATACACATATATATATATAAATATATATACACATATATACATATACATATATCTTAACTCCAAAATAACTCTAACTCTGAAATCCCAAAATACCTTAGACACAAAAATGTCCCTATAAGAACTACTACTGTCCCCACGGCAAATAAATCTACCAAAAAATGTCCCCAGAAATGTAGCTATAGACCCCCCCCCCATACACACACACACATACACACACACAAAGTGAACAAGTCAAAGAATCCTAATCAGGGATCCGGCCTCTCTGTTGTGTTACTTATTTGGCAGGTTGCTAAGGAAACATGAGATGTCGCTGGGAGAAGGTCCTGGGATTCTGCTGCCTCTGTTGTGGAAATTCTTCTGCCTCTTCAGCCGCAATTGAAGCTACGAGTGTGTGTGTGCGTGTGTGTGTGTGTGTGTGTGATCTCATAGCCGTTATCAAAGCCTGCTTTATAAATCCGGCAGATAATGAACCCGATCTGTTCTGCTGGTTTCTCAGCAGGGACATTTAATGGAGACATTTAGAGCAGGGACGATGACCTTACCACAGGTCAGAGGTCAGACATTTATATGTCCAACGGTGGACTGGTCATGTTTTAATCAGTTTGACTCGTGTGTAATAAAATGGTCTTTATCAAAATCTTTGTATTTTAGAAAATCAAAAATGCTCACAGTTAGAAATCTACTAGAGACTATATGGTATAAAAAAAAACCTCACTGTGATTTCTACTGCTATCGAAATCTACTAGAGACTATATGGTACAAAAAAAAACCTGTGTGATTTCTACTGCTGCTGAGCAAAACACACAAAAAAGGACACATTTCTGCAACATTATCATCGTTGGAAAAGTCAAGAACATTTAGTTCAATGAATGGAAATACCACAAAAGGACCCGCCCCCTACTTTGGGAACCCCCTGTAACTTAATCTATCATTTCCTCAAATAACTGTTCATTCAATTTGTCTGTAAAATGCCGTTAATTCAATTCTCCAAATATCAGCTGGTCATCGTCCGTCGTCATAGTTACAGTACAGTATGACGGAGCCTCTGAATAAAGTCGTAACGTCGTGGAGCTGAGAGGAGCCATAACATATGACCCATATTAGGCTTAGAAATCAGCAGAGGGTTTTTTTGTTTTTTTAAATTACCAAATGTGCAGCTTGGGTTTTTTTTTTTTTTTTTAGAACTGCATGGAGATTACTCCACTAATCTTCTCTGTCCTTGATCAAACAACGTCAGGCGTTTAGTTTCTGCAGAGGAATTTTAATAGGTGCTGATAAACCGTTCCCCCCAAGCACAACAGCACAAATGTAACGTGGAGACACAGCAGATGTGGAAATGTGAGACTAATGTACACAGAGAGGAATGTTTGGTAGTCCACACACACACACACACACACACACACACATATATATCTGAGTCAACTGATGATCTAATCACTGTCTTTCAGCTCGGCCTCCTCTCGTGGAGCTGGGTGTGTCAGACAAGACAGATTTAAGAGCGCTGAAATAAATCTGTGAAGAATCTCTACAGCTTCTCCTCGTCTTCAGAGCCTGGGAAACTCTTTTTTTTTTTTTATTCACAGAGCTGATTCTTCTTGTTGTTGCTAAACTTGTATCTTGTTTGGAAGATTAATGTGGTGCCATGTTGGTGTGTGTGTGTGTTTTTTTTTTTTCCAAATGCTCACATGAAGTGTGTTAACGCTCCTTTCAGTGGAAGTGGAACTCATTAACCCAGGAGCTAATGAATGACTGCTGCCCACTCCCACTCCCACTCCCACTCCGCACAGGGTTAACAGTTAGCACAGGGGGGTGAAAATAAAAATATAGATAAAGAGATCTTCCCGCACACCCACTGTTGTCCACATGACACAAATCATGTCGTGTTGTGGTGCCTTTAAACAATAACGGGCTTGTGTCACCGTACGCTTTAATTAACTGTCGAGCCATTCGGTCCAGTGAGTCACACACTCACTCACTCTGGTCAAAAAGAGTTGATGGTTGATGTTAATATTATATTTGTTCATATTTTCCATCTTTGGTCATATTTGAATTTATATGTGTATAATTTGTTATAAAAATTGTTGAACACTGGCCATCTTGTAGTTTAAATATAATATTAGTTATTTTTAACTCTGGATGTTTTTTTTCCATTATATTTGCCAAGTGGTTGGATGGAAATGTTAACGATGGGAAGAAGACCCTGGGGGTTGCAGTAAAGCAGGTTAAGTACTGATGTTGCATTCATGGACCAGGGCTTTAAATCAGTATTCACAGCATCTCTTGTTCTCTTTTTTTTTTTTTTACAATGCCTTTTTTTTAAATCCATTTTTGCAAGAAAACAATCCTAACTTCCTCCATCTGTTCGTCGACAGTACTATACTGAGGAGATATATGTGGTTCATTACACTGACAGGAACGAGGTTTCATCATAAACAGGTCCATAAACGTGACGTGCAGATAACAATTTAAGGAAGTATGAAAAATCATACAGAAGCATAATCATCTGCAGGTGGATTTTAAAGGTACATTTGTATCTTTGGAGTTGCATTTCTGTTTGTCTATAAAATAATATATACAAGTATGTTGAAAATCAACTACTTTATTTTAATTAGTTAATTAATACTTCAGTCCTGTGGTTCCCAAAGTGGGGGGGGCGGCACACCTTGGGGGCTGCAGAACTAATGCCAAGTGGGCCAAATCCAATTAATTAGAATTTTAAATATCTTTATCTTTATAAAAAAATATTTGTAATTGTATATACTCTGTTCAATGAGAACATCACTGTTGTAATATTACAGCTTTTTGAGAAAGCAGTGTCTGTGAATGTGTCGATGTAGGTGGGCCCCAGCACAGACAGCTTCACAAAGGCTGGAGTGACAGTACGTACCTAAACGTGGGTCAAATCTCCAAGCAGGGATGTGATCGTTTTCCTTCAGGCCACTCTCAGCTGGCAGGGGGACGGACACCGTGATTGGCTCGTTCACCTGCAGCTCTGTGCCGTCGCCGGTCAGCAGATGAACGGAGATGGCCGCGACAGGAGTCAGCTCATACTTCTTCTCTGTGCCTGAGGGAAAAGTAGGAACGTGTTAAAAGAGGTGGGCCGCCACCCAAAGGTTGCACATTGTAGGAGGGGGTGGGGGGTGCAGGAGACGTAGGAAGACAGCAGGGGGCAGGAAGTGGAAAACATAAAAGGAACTAAGAGAAAACATCAGTGAGTTATCGAGGGAAGGTTAGGCAGGAAATGGGAGGAGAGAAAGAAAACAAAAAGAAAATGTGGGAGAGAGAAAACAGAGAAGTGTGTGTGTTAAACAAGAGCACATCAGACATGTGCTGCGACCAAGAACTTTTGATGACTGTTTCCCATAATGCATTGTTCCCCAAAGACTGGGTCGCGACCCTCAAGTCATGTTTTCCAGGAGTTTATGAATAATGTCTATTAACTCGCAAAGGTTTATGACTTTAAAAAATTGTTTGGGAAACACTGGTCTAACAGACAAATTATACTTCTAATATCCAAACTGACATGGTTCCAGGAAGAGGAAGCCACACCCACACATCGGTGTACTTCCTGTCAGCCCTCAGCTCCGAGGTGCTGCCTCCGTTCATGACTCCTCACCTGTGCTGTTGTCTACTTGGACCTGCAGGTGAGGGAAGTGCTGGAGGTGTGAGGAAGAGGAGCAGGCCACGGTGAGCAGAGCAGTCAGGTTGGCGTAGGAAGTGTCGGAGGGGAGACTCAGAGCTCTGCGCTCGAAGTGAACGCTGGGCTTATGTCTGGAACCTTGTACGAAGAGGAGCGAAAGAAAATAAAAATGAGATGAGAAAACATGGTCAACTTCTCAAGATTAAAACCATCACGTGTTTCCAACTGTTCAAAAATAAAATGGGATTAAAACAGCTCTTGGCACATTTGTGGTTGATAGGGCGCCACCTGCTGGAGGGGGCAATTATACCTAATATGGTGGAGGGTTTTTTTGTGCTTTTTCTTTTTTAAATACCACAATTACACACACATTTATATTTTTATGAAGAAAATGTGTCTCCATCACACATGAGGGTGAGTCAAAAAGTTCTAAGAATTTTTTTCCCCCGTCTATTTCTGGAGGTTTTACCAGCCTCTCTAATGTTGTTCTAACAAAGGTGAGCTGAGGTTGGATTCAGGGAGAACTCCTCAGCTCCTCTGTCTGATGTTCATCTCTGCAGCATCGACGCGAACAAATTAAGAATGAAGTGCATTAGCAGCATGTCGACGGACGGACTCGGCTAGGTGATGTCATTGTGGTACGTCTGTGCCGAGCTCACATTCCTGGGCAGTGAGACACAGATCCAGCTGTATGGGAATGTTCGCTGTGTTTGTGTTTCTAGTAACTTCATCGTGAACTCTGGCTCAGCAGTAGAAGTGCCTCCAAAGTTGACGTTTTGAGCTGAAGTCTTGGTTTTAGAACTCAGCTGTCAGTCTAATGTTCCTCCTGTAACTCTGTTCTGTTCTGGGGTTTTTTTTTTTGACTCCTGTTCCTGTTCTTTGTCTGATCGCCTCCTCCACTCTCCTCGTCCTCGTTCCCTCCACTTCTGTTTCACCTCATCTGTTCCTCCTTGTGTTGGACATTGAACAGCCCATCCCCCTTTCTCCCTTTCACTGCCATTCTCTCCAAATACTCCACCCACAACCACACTTCCCAGCAGCACACACTGTATCATCCTCCTCCTCTTCCTCCTCCTCCTCCTCCTCCTCCTCCTCCTGGCTCTTTTATTCTCCTTCCTCGTGCCACACGCCACGGTTTATCACTCCCCCGGGCGCTTGACTTCACAACATCGTGACAAAGAGAGCGCAAATAATGCTGTGCTGACTCACTCACTGTAGGCAGCGTGTGCCCCAGACGTCTAACATGTGAACGGTGTCTGATTTTTTTTTATTTTTTTTATGTCGTGTCTGAAGTTTTTTGTTGTCTGACAACACGGTTGACAAACTGAATTACTCCCCAGACGCACACAAAAGACGCACCCGGCAAAATGGTCTATTGACGTTGTCAAAGTGAGGAATCTTCATCTGACAAAATAACACACGTGTTGTACCAGTGGTTAGAACTCACACCAACCTTCTTCATTTTATTTTAACCAAAATATAGAAGGAGACAAAACTTAAATATCACAGATATGTGTCGTAGGTATGTATTTGAACTGAACATGTAAAAAAAGGGATGTAAACAAAACACCCAGACCAGACATTCAGGACAAAACAAAATTGTTCTTTTTTTATATTTATTTACTGTATCTGTTTTATTTTTACTCCTCGGGTTTTATTCTATTTTCTTGGTTGTGTCTGTTCCTGTTTAATGAACTCTGATTAAAGCACTGTAATATTTAGTAAGTTTACAAATGTTAAAACAACATACATTATATTATTATTATAGTCTATAAAAGTAATGTTACCTATTTCTCACTACCATTTGTAATTTTAATAAATTAATAATAATAATAATAATAATAATAATAATAATAATAATAATAATAAATATTCCAGGCAGACCTGGGGGATGTATTCTGTTTTCTAGTTATTTAATGTAAAGTTGTTCATTTCTTTTGTTTGTTTAAAGCAACAGTAAATCAGAAACTAAAATCTTCTACAGTTGAGCTACAGTTTGAACAGTAAGTAAAAAGCAGTAAATATAATCTCCATTGTTTTCAGTACTGACCCCTCTCACAGCCTGTTTCCACTTATTTGTTGCCCACACGTGTACAACTCTTTTCTGGCACACAGAGCACAGTCAGCTGTACACGAGATGCTGACTATGGAAAAAGAATCAGGGTAAAACGACTTCAGTGCAACTGCAGCTCATTGAGGCATTCAGGTGAATGGCAAACATGCTCCACAGACACACATTTAGGTTTGGGGTTTTTTTTGTTAGATTTTTTTTTTTTACCTTGCAGGTCTGACACTATTTCCACCACGTCTTCATACACCATCAGAGTGGCCACTCGCTCCGGCAGCAGGTCCAGGCTGATGGAGGAGAACACTGGAGAAACACAGGCAGAAACACAGTTTAACAACCGACCTGATACGTTCATGGACCTGTGAGAAATAAACTGTTCTTCAGCGGATCGTTTATGTGAGAGATCACACGTGACGAGTCTTTATGCTCTGGTTTTGCTGCTACGCGGGACACAAATGTGACCCAGCAAGGGCCGCGCTCCTTCTCCTTCCTTCCTTCCTTCCTTTCTTTCTTCCTTTCACTCCTCCATTGTTCAGGCCTGGTAAGCGTGACTGTCCAATTGGCCGCTCTTCCACTGGGGTACAATAACTCCCTACTTAAATTACACACACACAAACCTAAACTTTTACAAATAAATGATATGCCTAATCTTAACCTTTGTCCTAACTCTAATCTAACACTAATTCTAATCCTAACCTCAAAATACCCTCAGACGCAGTGTGGATCTCCCAAAAGTAGTTTTTAAAAAAAGATTCATATACCATAAACACACCCACACACACACAGGGCCTCAGTGTGGATCTCCCAAAAGTAGATTTTAAAAAAAGATTCATATACCGTAAACACACCCACACACGCACACAGACAGACACCTCTAGAGAAAAGTTGTTTATGTGAGCATTTGTGAGATGAAAGCTTTAGTAGCCTCCCACACCCTCCCTCCTCCTCCTCCTCCTCCCCCTCTCCCTCTCGCTGGTCTTACACCTCTGATGTAATAAATTAGTAATGAAACACTCCATTTGTCATTAGCTTTCACTTCTGGAGGACACGCTTCACTTTTCACACGTCCACCACCGCACACAGGCAGAGAAATAAACGACACGAAAAAGGTGCGTTCAAGGTCCTCTGGGAGACGCGGTCAAAGACCTACCTGGTAATCTGGTGGGAGTCCAGGGCACAGAGTTTGGCACATAGCCCTGTTTGGTTGCAGTGACGACCAGCGGCGTCCCAAGACGATAGTGGAAGCGCAGGTAGGCGTTCCCGTCGGCCGATGAGGTTTCCGCGGTTACAGGCGTGTGGTTGGCAAACAGCTGGATGGAGGCCCCTCCCATGGGCTGGTGAGTGCTGGCATCGCTCAGGTAGACCTTGAGAGTCACGTCTGTGAAGGCGTACACAGAGATAGTCACACACATCTGTCAGCGCTGGTGTAGATAAACTGTGACCCCCCCACCCCCAAAGACAGGGAGTGACACACGGAGCCGACACACAAAGAGGTTATAATTACAGTCATCTCGCTCCGACTGCTTTATGTGTGGCTGCCAGAGCCTTTCCTCCAATCCTGGGATAGAACATTCCAAACCCTGGATTTTCCACAAAATGACAGACATCTGAACATTCCCTGGACCAAAGGCCAGTGGTACTTCCTGTCTAAAACAATGGACCATTTCCTCCACTTATGGAGAAGCACTGGACCAGAGAGGAAAACAACTGGACACGAGAACACCTTCCCTGATAAAAATGAGCGGCATAAACATCTCATAGAGATGTTGGTGCTGATTGAAGAACGGCTCATAAGTCAAATACGGTCGAACCTCACATACTGTTCTGTGGTATTTATGACACTCAGCTAGGCTAACACAGTGGTAACATCACAACCTGCGACATAAAAACATCAGATGAGTCTGACTTACACCTGGGAGCCAAAATGAAGGGCAAAAACACCCTAAAAAAAACAAACAAACAGAATAAAGTGTAAAGAAAAAAATTGTTTTAATGCCATTCGTCAGAATGATGGAAACATAAACATAAATTAATGAGAGATGGCGACGTTACAATGAGGCGTCGTAAATCGTGGACCCTGTACACGCCTTGATCCAACTAACTAACTTGTTTTTATACAGCGTGCGTAAATAACAACATGTGTATTGAAACATTATTAGAGCAACGATAAGTGGATGAATGGTGGAATTATAGGATATGCAGCGCACATCATTCTGTGTATGCACTGAAATATGTTGAAAACATAAATAAATATATATGGAGGAGTACATTTTTACCAAAAAGCTGCAGAAACTGCACCTTTTTAGTCATTTATTTTAGTCTGCAAACTCCACAGCCGTTTGCCTGTTCGAGTGTCTGCATCGATTACCACACCAACAATGTCACCACACTTCTCACATGACCTTTTTTCTTGGAAAAGAAAACCAAAGTCAGTTCATTCCCGTTATTCATCTAATCCACATTCAGTCAGTGTGAGGGTGTGGCCCCAGCTAAAACATTTGCCCCAAACTCGAGCCAATATCAATAATTTGCTTCCTTCTTCCAAAGAATTGCCTCACGTTTAGGAATTTCTAAACCACGGTGCACACATGCACGGACCAGAGCGGTCAGGAAAACAAGAAGTAGAAGTAACAACCATGACGCAAGTTCTTCAGAACATCGGTTCGATCCCTGGTCCTTCAGTACGATCTTTGCCCGTTCTAGATCAGGGATCATCAACTGGCGGCTCATGGGCCGATTCCAGCCCACTGAACCATCCAATCCGGCCGGCAACTGGATTCCAAAATAAACATTAGTTAACAATGTAGTTGGTGACCCCTGCTCCAGATTCTCTGGTTTCCTCCCTCAGTCCAAAAAACTGCAGGTTGAACTGTTCACTCTACACTGACCAAAGGTATGTGTGCATGTGTGTGTGTGTGTGCACATGAGTGTGTTTGTTCTCTATATGTGATGACCCTTAAAGAGAGTGAACTGTCCAGGGTGTAACCCCGGGTTTGGCTTCAGCCCCCCCCCATGACCCTTAAAGAGACGAAGCAGTTAAAAAAGACTGATGTCATTATTCAATCACCTTTAGCCCCCCACAAGCCCCCTCCTCCCCCTCAACCCCAAAAGCAGCAAAGCTGTTTTATAAAATAACAGGCAGCTTAGAATCACAGACCAAGTGTCGATCAAAATCGATAAAATAACAACAACAGTGTGTTTTTGGTTCAGGTCTCACAGTAATAAAATTGGAGATTTTTGACCAGTGTTACCAGGCAGCTTTAACAAACCCTGGCTGGATGTGTGTTCAGACAGATGACATCGTGGGCCCTCTTCATCACTGACTCCTCACTGACCCACGGTGACCTTTCAATTAAGGCTGAAAGAGTAGTCACTTCCATCTTCCTTGACCCAAACAGACCCACCTCCCCCATACTCACTGCAGCTGAGTTTCATTGTAACGCTTTCTTGTAACCACACCCTCCGTGACACACACACACACACACACACACACACACACTGCGCTCCCTCCCCCAAACCTCAGTGTTCCTGCGGTAGGCGAGGAGGTGCTCTGACAGTATATCTGGTGAGAGTTCATCCTGAGTGCAGCCTCCACCTCAACGCAGAGCCTTACACCAAATGATACCTTGGCAGGGTTGGGAGTTCAATTCTGGCTTTGCAAAGTGTGTGAGGTTTGGCAAACCAAGGTGTCACTCCAAACCAAACACATCATTACAGTCAATCCACTCCAAATATAAGCCTGTACTTCTCCTTGGACAAAAATCTCAGACTCTACATCCAGACTCTATTTTCTATTCTACATTTGATGACCTCACTTCCTGTCCCACTCCCATTGATATGTTCCTAGGGGTACCAGCTGTGCTTACTTTGAAAGATCCCCCCCCCCAGGGGGACTCAGGACATGCTCACACAAATGCAGCAGAGTCTCCTCCCAGTCCTCGTCCAATAAATCAGTACCAGTGACATCACTGTTAAACAAGCATGGAGTCTTCTCCAGGCAGTGGCTGGAATAATGTGGACAGACTGGAATTCTGGAGCAAAAAAAAAAAAAAAAAAAAACTGATTTCCTGTCTAACTAACTCTCATTATACCGACTCCTCGTGTCTGACAGCATATGGAGGACAAAGGCTTCAAACACAGGTCTGTCTCACTGATGCTGCCATCCCAGGCCAATTATCTCAGACAGCAGCAGCCAAAGCAGCAGGGTGTGCTGTTCTGTGTGTGTGTGTGTTCTGATGGAGGATGTTGAAAAAGGTGAAAACCAAACAAGAACAAAAACAGTGAGGACATATGTGTGTGTGTTTAGGCCTTTGTTTTAGCCCACAGCAGCTTTAGAGTATTTGCCCTTGATGCGTGTCGATCAACAGTTACACGGAGGCAAAACATTTCTGCCTCCATAAAAGTGAGCGCTGATAGAGGGGAAATGCAAGGTATGGCCGGCCTTCGCTGGGTGTGTGAAGGGCTTTGGTGTGTGTCCAAAGAGAGGAGGGGGAACAGATGCTCTCCCCTCACCAGGCTGAGTGGAACGCCTGTTTGTACACTAACACTGCACTGACAGTCGGACCGCCGCTCGCTGCTCATTACAATCAGTCACGAGGTGACAGGGGTCAGGCTGACGCCAGCGAAAAAACTCAAGAGGTTCATGTCATATCGATTCCTGACAGTAACACAGTTCACGGCTCGTAGGGGAAAATGTTGATTTGTCTGCTTTAAGATTTCCAAAAGATAAAGGCTCATTATTTTAAGATGTAGGTAAAATTGAACCAAGCTTTTTTTTTAAATGCATAAAGAAATTATTCCAAGCTTTTTTTTTTAAATGCATAAAGAAATTATTTAATTTGTAAATTTTATTGTGAAATTCATTAGACCAGGGGGCCCAAACCTCTGGCCCAAGGCCCACTTCTGGTACGTCATATTATATAATATTTCGCTGAGAAAGAGTTAAGTGTCTATTAATTGAATATAGAATGAAACCTGTTTTAAAAAAGTTATCATTTCAGCTAGAACTTGAACTAGTGACCTTCTTCTACTGTAAGGCATCAGCGATAACCAACAGTGTAGGCCTGTATTTAACAGGAAAACTAGCATCAGCGTTTGTCAGCCTAGTCAGGCTGCGCCGATGACGTGATCCAATCCCGCTGTTGGAACAAACAAACACTTCATCATTTGAACATTACCAAAACAAAACAAGCCATTCCAGCGTTCCTGACTACCGCACGCA